GTCATTTCCAGTGAACAGGAACTACAGCGGAGTAAGAAAGGCTATAGAGAAGATTTACATGTTCTTACTGTAGTTTGGGTATTTGTTAATCTCACAGAACGCCTTGCTTAAGGTTATATAGGCCGTACCAGATTCCTTGTTGTGATATAAAATGTATTTTTCCTCCTTAATATGCACACAAATGTGTTGATAAACCTTTTTACCAGCTGGCCACATTGGCTGATGGATTTAAAGAGATAGAGTTAGGTAGCGAAGTGAGTGCTAGACACTTAAAGCAGCCACAGACAGAGAAATATCTGTCCTGAAACCAGTTAATGTCTTACCCTCCTCTCCTCTCCTCTCCTCTCCTCTCTCTCTCAGTGAGCGAGTGCGAGGCGTCTGCCATGCTTCCTCTGGAGTGCCAGTACCTGAACAAGAGTGCGTTAACCACTCTGGTGGGACCCCTGACTCCCCCGGTCAAACATTTCCAGCTGAAGAGGAAGCCCAAGAGTGCGACCCTCAGAGCAGAGCTGCTACAGAAATGTAAGCTACTTTAAACTTCAACTAACAGACAGACAGACAGACAGACAGATAGATACTTTATTTATCCCGAGGGAAATTCAAGATTCATTCAATTGTGTACAAGTTTAAAGAAATGTGTGTGTTTGTTGATTATTTACTTGCGTGTGTTTACAACCCAGAAGGTCTGGGAGTTAAAATATAAGAAACCAAAATTGTGCCTTTTTATTTAAATCCTGTTGTATGAACCTTTTCTCTGTTAGCCACAGAGACAGCCCAACAGCTGAAAAAGACAGCCGGAGTGCCTTTTCATGCCAAAGGAAGAGGACTGGTCAAAAAGATTGACACTACGAGTGAGTTGAAGACCAATAAATGCACACACATCTACTCTTTCAAAGTGTTATCATTCTGGCATTGAAGGTACCATCGTAACATCAGTCAAAAGTTAAGAAATGATAGCTAAGAAACTTTCTGTTCTCACTTCCTTCTCTGTTACTGATGCATGTATCAATATTTGCATCACAGCTCCTCTCAAGGGGATCCCCAAGGCCCCGTTCCGCAGCCCCACTGCTCCCAGTATGTTCAGCCCTCCCAGTAACCGCACACCTATCGCCCCTGCACGGACGCCCCTGCGTAAGGAGAGGGGAGTCAAGGTAATGTCAGATTTGTGTGGTCGTGTTTTATTGTCATTTAATTCTCGCTTAGGTTTGTGTGTTTGACGTTTGGTCTTTTTTTCTCCTTTTCAGCTGTTAGATATTTCCGAGCTGGATATGGTCGGAGCTGGAAGAGAAGCCAAGAGGAGAAGAAAGACATTGGGTGATTACATTTCCAGTTCTCATCGCTCCCAGGAGACCATCAACTTATTAGTGAAGAAAGTGTGCGATTATACTGAAACATGCTTGCTGTTTTTTTTCTTCTGCTGCAGAAACGGAGGCCGGAGAGAAAGCAGCCAAAGAAGAAGCAGCAGTGGTGGAAAACACCACGCCCGACTACGCTGCGGGCCTCGTCTCTGCACAGGTACTTGTGGTCGCATCCCTCCAGTATCGTACCCCTCCCTTATTTTCTGTCTTCTGGTTTTCTGTTGCTGTCATAACAAATAATGCTTTGTTTTTCTTTTCTCAGAAACTGGGGGCATTGAACGAGAATCCTCTGCCGTCAACCAGCTACCTACCAGCCACACCCAGTATGGTTCCCTCCTCCTCTTACATTCCCAGCTCGGAGGCACAGCCAGGTTAGACAAATAGCGTTGTACACTCAGAGTTCAAGGAGGCGAAGACCCTGCAGGCATCATGTCAATCTCACAATGTCTTTTCTTCACTCACCTCCTCTGAAGCGAACGCTGGTGGTTCGGGGCGGGACACGCTGCAGTCGGCTCGCCAACCAGAGGAGTCTGCAACAGCGGGCGCTGGCGCCACCGCCACTTTACCAGGCCAGTACAAACAGAGGACGATGTACAACGCGAGCAACACAGCTAATCCAGCAACCCCCACGTCCCCCAGCACGCCAGCCTCCACCCCGGCCAGCAACGGGCCCCCAGCTGCTGCGACTGCCAGCC